CGAAGCGGTAATGAGCAGAGGCAGTTAACAGTTAACAGTTAAATGATCTTTATTTCTTGTGTTTGTGTGGTTTACATGTATGAATTTTTCAAGTGACACAGATGCGTCTTTTCAACTTTAGTTCCTGTGAAATTTCAATTATTATTAATTACAGTTCCTAGTCCTATCAGGCCTGTTTTAGAGAATGACCACCTTGGTGGGATTGGTTTGATTTGAATTGGAAAAAGGAGTCTACTTATAACTACTATTTACAACTACAACTAACCTACAACTACTATGTACACCTAACCTACTATATACAAATTGCTTATCAAAGCATGTTCTGATAAATTACATTTTTGTGTAAATTTAGTCTTAATTTCGTTAATTTTGGAATCTATTTTGGCAATGCCTGCCTCTTCATGTAAATTTGTTATTCTAGTGTCGAAAGGACGATCAAGAACCATCCTCAGCACTCTATTCTGAGCGACCTGAATTTTGTTCCTGTGAGTCTGTGCACATGATTCCCACACCGGAGCTGCGTAGAGGATCGCAGGTGCTACGATTTGTTTGTAGACGGCCAGTTTGTTCACCCTTGAGAGGCGGGATCTGCGGCAAATCAGCGGATACAGACTCCTAACCAAGGCGGAACACTTGACTACGGTTTTCTCCACATGCGAGCGGAATAGGAGCTTTTCGTCAAATAACATCCCGAGATAGGTTACTTCGGCGGACCACTCAACCCTTGTGCCATCCATGATTACAGTACAAGAGGGAGCCGGTTTTAGTTTGGGTGATTGCCGATGGAGGAACATGATTGTTTGTGTTTTGGAAGCATTGATTTTGATTTTCCACGTGGTGGCATAATCAGCAAAGGCGTTAAGGCATCGTTGAAGTTTGTTCGTTATTTCGCGAGGCATCCTTCCTTTGACGGCTATTGCGGTATCATCTGCGAACAGGAAAAACACGCAACCGTCTCCAAGGGGAGGAATGTCGGAAGTGTAAATGCTGTAAAGCAAGGGTCCCAGCAGACTGCCTTGCGGGACTCCTGCTGGGATGGAAAACGTGTCGGAAAGACAACCATTCAACGATACCTTAAACGACCTTTGCTGGAGGTAGCTACGGGTGATTTTAACCAGATGTAATGGAAAGTTGAAGTTACAAAGCTTGTATGCAAGCCCATTGTGCCAGACATTATCAAACGCTTTCTCAACGTCTAACAATGCCATGGCTGTGGACTTGGATACAGCTTTGTTACTTCTGATGTTATTCATCACCCGCACTAGCTGGTGATTGGTGGAGTGCCCCTTTCTGAACCCAAACTGTTCCGGAAGGAGAATGTTATTTTCCTCGACAAACTTGAGCAAACAATTGAGAATGAGTTTCGCGAACAATTTGCTCAGCGCTGAAAGGAGGCTGATTGGTCTGTAGCTTGAAGCTAGCGTTGGGTCCTTCCCGGGTTTGCGGATAGGTATGATTTTCGCTGTCTTCCAGATACTTGGAAAGTAGTGCAGTTCCAAGCATCTGTTGAAGACAGCAGCCAGCAGAGAGTGAACCTTCATGCTGAGATTTTTCAACACTAGGTTGAATATTCCGTCAAACCCGGGGGCCTTCATGTATTTGGTGCATTTCAGCGCTGAGCAAATCTGTTCCACTGTGATTCTATCCTCCGGAGGGATGGCACAAGGGGAGGAATCAAGGTTGAGTACGCATTGCTCAACCTGAACTTCGAGCGGACTTTGGATGTTGGAGCCAAGCAAGTGCGATTTGGCAATATGCTCACCAATCGCATTTGCTTTCTCCTGAGGGGTGATTATGAGCCGATCGTCATCATTTTCATCTTTTAGTGGCGGAATGGGTTTAGGGTGCGTCTTTAAGACCTTGGCAACTTTCCAGAATGGTCTGGAGCGGTCGTCCAGATTCTGGACAAGCCGCCCGAAACTTTCGTTCCGGAGTGAGACCATTCTGGAAGCAATCTCCTTGTTCAGATTGGCCATTTCACGTTTCCTCGCTAGATCTCCAGTCCTCTGAAACTGGCGTCTACGAACATTTCTCAGGCGAATTAAGAGTTGGGTGTGGGAATCAATGGCAATAAACTTACCCCTCACAGGAACTCGTCGGACGCACGCCTCGTCAGCCACGGTTATGGCTTGGTGGAGTACTTCCAACGCTCGATCGATGTCCTCCACGGAGTCAAGCGGCGGGTTGTCGATGATGTGCCTGTCTACCACGCGTCCAAACTGGGCCCAGTTTACGCGATGGTAGTCCTTGCGCAGGCTTGGAGCAGCAGCTACGTTGTATCCCAGTTCAGCCACCACCGGTTGATGGTCGGAGCTGAGTTCGTTTAAGGCTACCGGCTTGGACAAGCCGGTATTTGAAAGAAACAGGTCTAGCGTCGATGGGTTGCCTGCCGGTGAGATGAATGTTGGCTCGTCCGAGAACCAAACGGAGTACAGCCCATGCTGCGAATGGTCGAACAGCAGACGACCGTTCTGGTTCTGTTGGTAGTTCCGCCATGCTTCATGACGAGCATTCAGATCTCCTCCAACAACGAAGCGGGAACCGGTACGGGTGATGGTGGACAGGTCCTTCTTAAATTTAGCCGCTAGTCCACTGCTGGCGGCACACTGTCGAGGGCAGTAGACGGCGATGAACTGGACGTATCCAGTCGATGACTCCACCTCCACACCAAGGGCCTCGATGATAGAGGTGCGGATATGGGACAGAGTGTGGTATTTTATTCCTTTCTTGACGACGACCGCAACACCACCCCCCCTGGAGCTGGTGCGATCAAGCCGGATAATGTTGTGGTCAGGCAACCAGAAGCTGTCGCTGGACTTTAGATGGGTCTCGGTTAGAAGGCCCACGTCGATGCTGTGCTTGCGGAGGAAGTCGGCAAGCTCAATCTCTTTTGCTCTTACAGAGCAAGCATTCCAGGTGACGATAGTTAGCGGTTTAGACGCCATACTGGATGATGAACTTACCGAGCACCTGGATCTGTTCGGGCTTATTGCGGCACTTACGAAGAGCACCGGACATGTTGACGAAAATTTCCATCAGTTCATCCGCTGAGAACAGATCGGGGTTGTTGTTTTGCGCTGTTGGTTGTCTCCAGAATCCAGGGGGGGATGGAGAGCTTTGGCCAGCAAAATCACCGGAAGCTTCTTGAGGGGGGGCGGGTTGCACCCGCGAATTCGCTTGCCTTTGCTGGGGAGCACGAAGAGGCGGAAAATCCTCCGTCCTGAATGCTGGGGTTTTGTCCTTCTTGCGTCCTGGTTGATTGTTGCTTGACGCCTGCTTTCGGATGCGTTTGAAGTCCTCGCGTTTGGAGCACTGTCTGTCGGAACCTTGATGTGCACCACCACAGTTAGCGCATTTTATCGCCACGGCTCCATCCGCAGGGCAGTTGGAAGTGGCGTGTTCTTGAGCGCAGTTGCTGCAGCGTGGCTTGATGTTGCAGTTGCGGGTACCGTGTCCAAAATTGAGGCACCTCATACACTGCGTTACGTCACGATGGCCGCCACGGTATGGCTCCCACCGTACGATGATGGAGCAGATTGATCGGATGGCTTGTAGCGCATTGAGCGTCACCGTCCCTTTCTGGAAGTGCACCAGGAAAAGACAATCCGGGTACGTCTTCACGTTTTCGTCTCTCCTTGTCATTCGGAAGACAGCGATTGGGCAAGCTTGTACCGGTTGATTTCAGCTTCGACCATCTTGGGGTCGAAGTTTGGTAGACCCCTGATGACTACCTTGAAGGGCTTCTCACCGGGGATGTCGTGCGTGAAGAATTCCGCCTTGGTATCCTTAAGATATTTCACGGCCACTTCGTACTCCGCTTTTGTTCGGAGCATCACCTTGGTGCCGATCCTGCCGAGCTTAAACTCAGCTGCAACGCCCAGCGATGAAAGATCGCCAATCAGCGTGTTGATTGGGACTTGCTTCACCACCAGTGGAGGAAGCTTCATTTTTGCTGCACTCGGGCTGGCAGCAGTTTCGTTGTCGACGGCGTCGCCGAAATCACCAATGACGCTGACGTTCGTCGCGGTGGCATCGTCCCGTCCACTCGCACCATCGGACTGGCCTTGATTTTTCTTCCTCTTCTTTGACCGCTTCACCGTGGCTGAGGTGGTATTCCCTACATCGGTGGGAAGAGTAGCGTACCTATTCGAAATAGGTACACTCAAGCTACCCTCACCGCTGTTCTTCTTCTCCGTTTTCTCTCGGAGCCTGCTCCGGGAGCGCTGTCTTCCCATCACACGAAGCGACCGACACTACTGACGACGCGATTAAACTGCGAATGTTTGGAACAAACTAGAAACTTTAGAACAACTCGACAGAGTGAGCAAAGACCGAACTGTACTGCTTGACGTTTAAGCAGAGAATGAATTGTTGATTGATGAGCAGAGGCATGAGAGCAGTGCTGATTTATATCTTTTCAGGTTCAAGCAGAATGATGTGCAACCAAGTGGTATTCGTTTATGATGACTGGGTTTGGGAAAAAGGCTTATTTCATGAAATCAGTGATAAAATTACCATTTGTACATTTTCAAAAGTTTAAATTGTAACCGATGGTTCCATAATGTGGGCTTGTGACTCTATCACAAGTGCACTCATAATCGACTGTATAACAGTGTTGTAGAATGTCCTAAATCCAACTCTGCTGTTGGTCGCTCACTTTCCCATACCTTTCCATTCGCCTGCGGTACCACTCACTCTCATCAAACTGGTTGACAGCAGGCGCTCTGCCGAAAAGGTTGTCCATATATGGGGTAAGGGGAGAGACAACGACGGGTGAAATAAATATGTAAATACAGCAACATTTCGGGTCTGCTCGTATTTCGTGGTTTTTTGCGGATTATTGCTTGGCATGCTAGCAGGAGTCAGGTTAATTCTGTTTCAACCGCACTCGGGAACAGACTCAGTGCGCGACGTGCTAATTTTCCCAAAGGTTCACTGAAAGGGCGAGGTAAAAATGTGTAGTGTGGTTTTTTTAAATAGTGTGTTTTGTTTAATTACAGGTCTAGGGCTAGTAAAAAGAAAAGTTAGTAGTGTCAGTCGTGTTTAAAAATTTCGTTAGTAAAAGTGGTTAGTAGTGCTAGCTGTAAAATTAGAACTGAAAATAATGTGTTATATTGTTCTTTAAGGTTAGGGTAGTTCGACCAATTGTCACCCCAAACTGACGGTTGACTGTTACCGTGCAGATAATTCTAAAAGAAAAGGTAAATTTATGTACATTTATTGTAAATTTGTGAAAAAAATTATGTATTGTATGAGTAATTATGTGGTTGGTTTGGTTTTGAAAGGGGCAGGCTAATTAAATGTGTATGGCGAGGTGCTAATAAGCGTGGTTAGGTCCACAAAGGGCCTTTTTCTTTTCTTTGGCAGCATTTGTCCTGGAGCGAGCGCCATTGTGTTCGAGGTCAAAGGACAAGCCCGGCATTATTAGCGAAGCCATTTTGCAAAGGCCACGTTGCAGCGGTAAGTCCATTGTGACACGCGTTCGGGATTGGTCCTCCAGCTGGGTTCAGGAGAACCAGCTTGGAGCAGTGCAGCAGTCGCTACCGCGGGTTCTAACGAGCCAATATCGTCCCGCTTCTTTCTCTTCCGCCACCCTCTATGCTGTTTTGGTTGCCACCGCTCCGCGAACTGCATGCACCGGGCGAGTTATCACGCAATCGCCACGCAGTCACCAGAATTAGACCAATTAGTGATTCGCCAGAATAACCACCACCCGCTTCATCACCGCCACCATCCCCCCATCGCAACCACCACCGCCACTGCCGAGAAACCCCGAAAACGAAGCCAAACCGCAAGTAAAATGTGACGTCACAATGTTAAAAACTATGTATCGTAAAATCTAGAATATAATGCTATTGTACATGTAATTTTCTTATTCCAGAACTTTTCATACTAGTTGAAAATCTCACTACCATTTCTTTTGTGTATCGTTCTCCGGACTCGAAAGGAGTCTTCATGCCTCCCTCCCTTTGTGGTTTATTCAGTAGGAAATTGACTCTGTGGCTTTTGAGCATAGAAAACCATAAGTGAATCATTCATGTTTTCTTTCCCCTTTGCCCTGTTTATGGACAATACCCTATCGTCGTGAGTTACTACTGACAGCATAGATGGAAGAGTGAGAGTGGTATACCGTATTCCTTCCTTCCGACCCTGTTGATAACTTTTTCCACTGAGTAGCTGAGGGGTTTACAAAATACAGAAAAATTGAAAAATATTTATTTTAACAGGTTCGTAATGTAATATCCTATCGATTGGCGTATTTGAATTTTAATTTCATCTATAAATGACAAAGTTACAAGCGTTCAAAACCTAACACTCCTTCACCACACATATTTTTTGATTTGCACCCCAGTATAGTCGACAAAGACGTAGTTCTACGTCAAAACAAATGTTTTGTTACAAAATGTAAGGTATATTTCCAAATAAATAAACATTCAGTTTGTTACCTGATCATTGTTATCTTCATTAACAGGATTTCACGCGAGACCTTCATGCTGTACCACATTGACATTATCCTTACGGCATGCCACCGCAAAATGTCCGCGTCGACCGCAAGAGTTGCAGTTCCTATTCATAGCTGGACACTCCTCGCCTCTATGCGATGGACGGAAGCATCTGGAACATCTATTACGACGACTCGACTGTGTTCTGTTCATCTGGTATCGTGAGCTATCCTTGAACCGTTTTGTTGAACTTTGAATCGTGTGTTGACCTTCTCCTCTGCGCTTGTACGGACGTTGGGATTCGCTATTCTGGTTGAACACTGCCAAGACGTTGGGCTCCATCATTGGGGCCGTAATTTCTGCTTGAAACGCTTCGGCTCGGGTCGCAGATTGAACAATATAGTTTGAATCGTAACCGAATGTACGTGCCGCCAACTACGCTGCTACTCTTTTAATTTGGAGTTTTTTCTTTAAGCGGTCCTCCAAACACGCTGCCCTTATTTATTTTCCAAATGCAAGCGGTACTCCCAACGCGCGGCAAAATCTAGTGATCCTCTCAACTCGCCTTTCCAAACAAATTAAGCGGTCCTCCCAACTTGCTCGTTTATTTTAAACAACCATCCATTTCGATGCAAAAAATGGATGTGGTAGCCATGTTGTTTTCCGAAACTAGCATCTTTTTCCTTTTTTTTATTCGTGCAATGGGTGATTTCCTCTTGATTGATAACTAATATTAAAATTCGATTACTTTGCTGTGGAAATTTCAGCAAAACCTGTCACGGTCACCAAATGTGAAGAGCTGAACTCTACCGGGAAACCACCCATTGCAGGGTAACAATGGTACACTTGGATACACGTCTTACCTGCTCAACACTTTCACACTCGAATGATAGCTTGCGTCCAAACCATCTCTGTTGAATGGTGCCAAGTCGATACAGAGGGTTCACGTTATAGAGTGGCAAGACAACAAGAGAAAGCAAGAGAATTAAAATAACAAAAGTTGAAAGAATTCATAAAATGATAAACAAACAACTAATTCCCACATACTCCATTATAATATGCGCAGAAGGTGAGAAACTCCCACAAGAAATCAAAATATATGGTGTAATGTCAAAGGTAGAGGTTTATTTGTTTCCACTCAAATTTTGTTGGAAATGTTTACGCTACTGACATAAACAAAACGCATGTAAATCACAACAGGTCAGGTGTTATAATTGCTCACAAAATGATCATGAAGGAAAGGACTGTAAATCATTGAATGTTTCATGTTTCCACTGCAAAGAACCACATAAAGCATTCGACGCAAACTGTAAAGAAAGATCTCGGCAAGATAATATTCGAAAATCAATGGCATATAACAAGCTCTCATTCGCTGAAGCTGAAAAACTTAACCCTCGTCCATCACAGACAGCTCAAAGACTTCAATCACTGACTGACTTTCCTCCGATAACAACAGACAACGACATTAACAACAAACAACAGCCAAAACCCCAAAATAAACAACAATACCCAGAATAACATCAACAAAAAACAAAGAAGTTAATAATGATAACTACATAACAAAACCAGAATTTTAACAAATCGTAAATAAACTAAAAGTTGAAATAGTAAAACAACTCAACTTGAATAAACTCATCAACAAAATTGAAGAAATTTAAGAAAAGATTAACGAAAACGTTTCAAACAAAGACCAAACCAATTCAAAGGATCAAAATCTGTTTCTTATTAACATCATTTAACAGTTAAATGATCTTATTAACCCCCACCTAATGATCTTATTATCTACAACCACCTAAACCCCCATATCTATCTTCTATATATATAAAAATGAATTTCTGTCTGTCTGTCTGTCTGTCTGTCTGTCTGTCTGACCCTTATAGACTCGGAAACTACTGAACCGATTGGCGTGAAAATTTGTATATAGGGGTTTTTGGGGCCGTGCAAGGTTCTTATGATGGTTTGAGACCCCTCCCCCTTCTGTAAGGGGGGGCTCCCATACAAATGAAACAGAAATTTCTGCATAACTCGAGAACTAATCAAGCAAATGGAACCAAATTAGGCATGTGGGGGCGAGTGTGGGGGTATAAGGAGATAATCATAGGGGGTAACCCCTTAGATAATAGGGGGGGGGGCTACGTACAATATAGCATGCTTTTTTTTATAATCGGCGCATAAACTCAAGCTAATATTGAATCCCGAGCAAGACCGGGCACACTCTAAATAAAAATGGATCCAGTTCGCAATCTAAGTATACTTCAAAATAACATCAATAGTATAAGACCGGTAGCTAACCGTTCACTTCTAACTCATCTATTACAATCACATAAAATTGACATTGCTATCTTATCTGAAATTCAGCTAAAACCAAATGAAGATTTTAAAATTCCTTTAAAAAAAATAAGAGACAAAGGCTATGGTGTTAGTAGCCTTCTTAATAAAAATGAAATAAATGTCCAAGAAATAAAACTTCCAGATGTAAAACCTATAGAAGCAATAGCAATAAAAACAACTAACACAGTATATCAATTTTTATTCATTTCCATTTATATACTTCCAAGTCCTATTAGTAACACTCAAATAAAAAAAAAACCTTTGACTGACTTATTTAACTTTGTTGATCTAAACAAATACAAAACAATAATAGCTGGGGATTTTAACGCTCATCATTCATGAAGCCAACAAAACGTGTACAAGAGGCGAACTAATTTTGGAACTAATTGAAAACAGAAACTTAATTATCATGAACGACGGGTCACCAACGATGTTGGATCATCCAAACATTACTCCTTCTGCAATAGATTTAACTATAGTTTCATCATGTTTAGCACCAACAATTGAATACTAAATACTAAATGAAGAAATCTGTGGAGATCATAAAATAATAATTTTTAAAATGATTAATCAAGCTCAACATTTTTTCAATAATTCGACTCTTATAAATAAGAAAAAAAAAACAATTAAAAACATTAGTGAAATAGATCCAAAAACAATAACATCACCAGAACTACTAAGCAACTTATTTATTTCTAAAATTGATGAAACAAAATACAAACCGATTAAAAAAAATTACCCAAAAAAATGGTGGTATTCATTAATTCAAGAACTATTTCATGAAAAAATAAAGCTCTTAAAGATTATTTAAATTACTTAACCATGGAAAACTTGATGTATTCCAAAAAAGCAAGAGCTAAATTAAAAAATCTATGAGAAAAAACTATTTCAAGATTTCACAGATACTCTTACACCGGATTTAAACTTAAAACAATTATGGCAAACAGTAAAAGTGGAGGGATTCCTCAAAAAAATAATCTACAACTATTGAATAACAGAGAACTAGCCAACAAATTCATGAATCTAAACTTTCCCAAAATAACTAATGAAATAGAATACAATGTAAATAATGATTCAAATCCACTTAAACTATCTGTAAATGACATTATCAATACTCTAAAAACTAAAAAAAGACAGTACTGCTCCAGGTCCTGATAACATTACATATCATATTTTAAAAAATACAAACATTCATCTTCTTAATGTAATAGTCAGCATGTGTAATGAAGTCTTAAATAGCCGTAATATCCCAGTCAGCTGGTTAACAGTAAAAGTAGTTGAAATTCTTAAACCAGGGAAAAATGAAATTTTTTTCACACATCATATAGACCTATTTGCTTAATACCTACATTCTTAAAAATAATCAATATTAAAATTAAATCAGAAATAGCCCATTTCATACAAACAAAATACTCCTTTGGTTTTAAAAGCAAAACATCCTCAATAAATTGCGTTAATTACTTAGTTTCTACTAATAAGAGGGCGCTAAAAACAGGAAACAATGTATCATGGTCACTTTTTTGGACCTATCGAAGGCGTTTGATAACGTCGATATTTCTATATTACTGGGAATTTTAAAAGAAAAGAAATTTCCGGAACATTTAATAGATTGGATATATTTCTATTTGAAAAAAAAAGAAAAGCAGTATTAACATTAAATAATGGCACTACAATATAAAGGATTACAAATAAGGGACTACCTCAGGGCTGCCCGATATCACCTATTTTATTTAATATCTACACAACTAAATTACATGGAACAATAAAAGAAGGAACACTCATTCAATTCGCAGATGATTTTGCTGTTGTCATTGAAGGTATAAATACAATAGATACTAACAACAAAATGAACAGAACGCTCAACACAATTTGTTCAAATTTAGATAATTTAGGAATGCAACATTAGTTTTCATGAACAACAATATTCCAGATGATATA